CTTGTATCTGCTACACAACAACAGTTTTACAATGTTTGGAGCCAGGTGTATTTCTTATTTCAATAAATGGTCTCTGACTTTTGTAGAGCTAAGGTAAAAACGCATGATTGGTTCTCTGGGTTGAATGCATCTCCCCAAAATCATGTGCTGAAAACTAAACACCTCATGCAACAGCGTTGGCAGACAAGAATAAAAAGTGATTAAGCCATAACGGTGGAATGAAAGAATTAATGCCGTTATCACGGGAGTGGGTTCGTTATCCAGGGAGTGGATTTCTTATAGAAGAATGAGCCTGGCCCCCCTTGTTTTCTCCTGCCTTCTCTTGCCTTTCCACCTTCTGCCATAGGAAGACACAGCAAGAAGACCCTTGTCAGATGCCAGCCCCTCCGTCTTGAACCTCCCAATCTCCAGAGTACTGAGAAACAAATTTCTGCTCATTATAAATTACACAATCTCATCTCCTAATATTGCATCACAAAATGAACTACAACAACTGGTCTTCAGTGTATTTTATTACATGATTCATGAATACTTGTAATTGTAAAATATGCACTCATTCTAGGAAATGCAGTTGAAGAAAACTAATAATAAAATGATCCATCATACCATCAACCAGAGACAACCGTGAAAACATGTTGATATATACACATTCAAACTTTTGAAACATATAATGCACATTTTTAAATGCAGGTGTATAATACAAGTTCTGATAAATAAATCTGCGAAATTGCCACCATGCCCCTACATTGGCAGGACTGTACAAAACCTCGGTAAGGATTCATAACCTTGGAATCCAGTGTCTCACAGATGTGCTCATGTGTGATGGTGTCTTGCTGAGCAGCATTAATTATTGTTGTTGAGTGCTTTTATATGCTGTCAGGAGAATTAAATTAGCGCAACAAACATTGGTAAATTTCTAGTGAAATTTGGCAAGAGTAGAAGCAAAATCAGGGACATGTTAGTCCAAATTTATGGGGATAACGCCATGAAGAAAATGGCAACGTACAAATATATTAAACTTTTTCCTGAGGGGAGAGAAAGTATCATTGACGAGGAGAGGGTAGGGCAGCCAGTATGGAGCAGAACTGACAAGACCATTGCAGAATTTTATGGAATTGTCTGTCAAAATCATCAGCTGACTGTGACAAGCATAGCAGATCAAGTAAATATCGATAGAGAAACAGTAGGAAATTGCTTGTTTATTTCTATTGCCCAGGCTAGAATGTCGTGGTGTCAGCCTGGCTCACAGCAACCTCAAACTCCTGGGCTCAAGTGATCCTGTTGCCTCAGTTTCCCAAGTAGCTAGATCAACAGGTGCCCACCACCACCCAGCTAATTTATTTCTATTTTTAGTAAAGATGGAGTCTTGCTCAAGATGGTCTTAAATGCCTGAGCTCAAATCTCATCTCGGCCTCCCAGAGTACTAAGATTACAGGTGTGAGCCACCATCCTGGGCTCAGTTAGGAAAATCTTAAATCTTTGGAAGAGAAAAGTGTGATTCTTGCATCATGACAATGCACCAGCTTACTCAGCACTGTCTATGAGGGAGTTTTAAGGCTGTAAACAAATAATTGTATTGGAACACCCTCCCTACTCACATGATCTGCCCACCCCCACCCCCAATAACTTTTTTCCTTACCCAGAGATAAAGGAAATATTGGAAGGAAGACATTTTGATGACATTCAGGACATCAAGGATAATAAGATAACAGTTCTGATGGCCATTTCAGAAAAAGAGTTCCAAAATTGCTTTGAAGGATGGACTAGGGGCTGGTGTTAGTGCACAGCTTCCCAAGGGAAGTACTTCAAAGGTGACTGTAGGAATATTCAGCAGCGAGGTATGTAGCACTTTTTCTAGGATAAGTTCATAAACTTAATTGTCAGACTTCATGTGTGTGTGTGTGTGTGTGTGTGTGTATTTATAAACTCTTTTGATAGTAAAATAAAGTACACATTTTAGAAGGCAATAATTACAATTTTTTTAGATTGTTGCCAACAGTACACAGGTACGTATCTATCACCATTTACTCTGCTATCCCCTGGTGTTGGGACTTGTAAACAATGCTTCACTAAAGCTCCTCTGGCTAATCCTTGCCAACATACTTAATTACTTCAGACAGACTTCATGAAGCACATTCATTAACTCGAAGAACAAACGGGCTCAGTGAGATTTGGCTGACACCTTGTGGAAAGTCAGCTCATTGCCAGCCATTTCCCAGCAAGTCGATGGCAAATAAATCCCCCTCTATTTTATTTGGAGCAAAATGCATGCACACGGGAGCAGCCATAATTTAACTCCAGTGAAAACTATTTCCTAAGCATTTAAACAGTCCTTCCAGAGTTGGAAAATCGAGGCCAGGCGCAGTGGTCCATACCAATAATCCTAGCACTTTGGGAGGCTGAGCTCAGGAGTTAGAGACCAGCCTGAGCTAGAGAGAGACCCTGTCTCTAAAAATAGCCCAGTGTTGTGGTGGGCACCTATAGTCCCAGCTAGTTAGGAGGCTGAGGCAAGAGGATCACTTGTGCCCAAAAGTTTGAGGTTGCTGTGAGCTATGATGCCACAGTACTCTACTGAGGGTGACAAAGTGAGACGCTGTCTCAAAAAAAAAGAAAAGAAAAAAGGAAGAAAAGAAAATCTACCTTGGGCAAGGAAGGGCTCTGTGCAGGGACAGCCACCAGAGATGCTATAGCAGCCAGCTATTGTCTCTGGAAACCCTGTGAGACCCCAGGTGTTGCACCCAGACACTTGTTCTGCCAGGGAAGGAGCTGACCTGTGATCCTTCCCTGCTACATGGGGGTAGGAAGTGATGGGGAAGGAGTTTGCTGAGCAGGTCTGGGTTTCTGAGGTCACATTTTCTTATTAGCCACCATGTATGGCCAGAGGGTACAGGGAATAGCATCAAATTAGATGCATGCTGCAAAGTTTCTCTTCCCTTAGCCAGGCCACCACTCTCGACTGTGGGATGGGGAAAGCCAGCCAGAGAGGACCGGAAGCCCAGCAGGCCAAAAGGACAAGTGGTTGGCCAAACTGCATGTATTTGGGGGCTTAACACTTGAATTTGAGACTGACAAATCTTCCCCTGAAGCTGCCCATGGGCCAGCAAGGAAAGCCCTAGGACCTGGAAATGGTTTCCCAAGAATGGAGAATCAAGCCCAAGGAGAGGCCAATTTTGAAAAGTGGCTCTATTATACTTGTTAGAAGGTCACAGAAGAGACAGTTATCCAGAACTTTAAAGAAGAAGAAAAAAAAAAACCTACCCAAGATCTAAAGTCTCTAAGTGTGCCAAGTTAAATGTTTGAAAACTAAATTATCTGTGGAAGCACAGAGTCAAAGGAACACAGCATGTTAAATTTCTGAACACGGTTGAGGAAGGGAGAGGAAGACACCTCAGACTGTTGGAGAAACTTAGAAAAGCTACAAATGGAATGTGTAGATTCAGTAGCCACTTGCACCAAGATTGGGTTCTCCAGGGAGCAGACTCAGAGAGGTAGTAGGTTGTTTGTGAGATGCCATGGCTGGGCATGGTGGCTCTGCCTATAAACTCAGCACTTTAGGAAGCTAAGGCGGAAGGATTCTTGATAACAGGAGTTTGAAACCAGCGTTGGCAGTAGTGAGACCCTGTCTCTGCAGAAAACAGAGTAATTATACAGGCATGGTGTTGCACACCTGTAGTCTTTAGCGACTCAGGAGACTAAGGCAGGAGGAGCACGTGAGCCCAGGAGTTCAAGGCTACAGTGAGCTACTAATCATGCCACTTGCACTCCAGCCTGGAGGACAGAGGGCTTTGCTTCCTCTGATAAATAAACAAATAAAATAAAAATATAAGGGACTGCTCTGCAGACCAACCCCTGAGGAAGGGACGGGAAGAAACAGGATAGGGCAGGTTACCTCTGTCATTAGAACGGCCCATCAGGGTTGTCCTCCACTGGACTAAACCGGCACAGCCTTTGGACTCCCACCTGAGCCAGTCTTTGGACTTGAGTGACCCTGGGGCAGAAAGACCTTGGTTGGATGGCTGTCTGCAAATGAACAATGCCAGAAGAGGCTTGGGACATCTTGAAGGGGAGTCTGGCCAGCGCATCTGTGTCCTGCACAACACATTTTGTGGACACTTACACTCCATGAGCCCTGAAGTTCCTCTTACTCTGCCCCCTTCCGAAATTCCTAAGGGACACTTGCCAGGGTTGTGGTGCAGGCTGAAGGGGTAAACAGCCCCCTCTAAGGTACCAGTTGGTGCTTAGTAATGCTTTTAATCACGCACCTTGGCAATCTCATCAGAGCAAGCGCACAAATATGGCTAAGTGAAAATGCTGAATAAAACTTTCCTAAAAGATCAAACACAAAATAAATCCCATCAATGATACTAAAGAAATGAGATCAAAAATATGTAGGGAGGGTAAGTATTTAACAGTCAATAAAAATAGCTTTCTCCCCCCGGATATGTGACGTCTGCGTCCATTCATTGCTATTTCTCTTTTCTTCTTAAGGAATCTGCCTCCTCTGTGCGGTAACTTAGTGTTGTCTGTCGAGCCTGCGCCCTCCTAACAGCGCCAGGCCCTGGGCGGGCGGCGCGCCAAGTCGGCCCAGGGACCATCAGCAAGTCACCCAGACCTCTCCATCTAGGCCCGCGCTTATCTCAAGTGCCCAAGGGGGAAATGCTACGTATTTGCGTATTTCACGGGGACCTCGCGCGGCACTGTTGGAGTAGCTCTAGGATCACCCCGGGCCCCCGCTTCCCCACCCACCGCAACGACCCGGAGCTCGCCCGGTATCCCGTCCCCGGAGCTTCCTGGAAGCTTCCCGGAAGCGCAGGCGCAATTTGGCGGAGAGAAACTGGCGCAAACTTTTTTGAAAAGCCCAATCAGAGCCCAGCCTCTCCGAGACAGCCAATAGGAAGCCTAGAGCGGGCAGGAGGGGCGGAGTCATCCATTAGAGCCAAGCCCGCCCGGGGACCTGTCCTACTTGTTTGCAGCAGAGTTCGCGGTGAGTTCCTCTCTGCGCCATGGCGGGCGAGGCCCTGGAGGAGGACATGCTGCTGCAGAAGCTCAGGGACAGCCGCCGCCGCTTCCAGAGGCGCATGCAGGAGCTGATCGAGAAGGTGCGCTCCCTACCGGTCTGCGAGGATGGAAGGCCAAGGGCGCGGCTTTGGGGCGGGGTGGGACGAGGAAGAGGGACTGAACCCAGGGATAGAGGCGAGCCCGAGTTGAGAGCTCCAGAGGGGAGGCAGGGCCGGGACTCGTGTGCAGAGAGGGGGCTTGGGACCACCCAGGCCGGACTGCGCCCCCGCTGGCTGTCGCCCCCTCGGCCCGAGTCAAGGGCTGCCCGTGACCCTTGGAACTGACCGGAATCTGCTCCCTCCTCCGCAGTACAACCAGCCCTTCGAGGATGACCCACTGGTGCAGATGGCCACACTGACCTACGAGACACCCCAGGGTAAGGATGCATCTTACCCCTTCTGTGTATTTATGGTTAAGAGTGTGAAGAGAAAAGTGTCTCGTAGAATTTGAAACACTGTCCTTGCTTTCTTGTGGAGTGAACTTTGTTCACCTGCCTAATAGAAGCCCAAACATTACTTGTTGCCTTGAACCTATAAATTATTTATTTCCGACAGAATCACTTATTAAAGCAGCATCCTGGTGACACATAGATGCAGCCTTCTTAAAAGTTGCCTCTGCCTGGCTGAGTGTCATCCCAGCTGGCCACTTCCCAGCCTTGTGGGTTAAGGTTTTAGCCAGACTGTGTCAGTGTCTTCATCTGTTAAAATGGGAAGGATAGCAACAGTTACATGGGTCTTTAGCACTAGTAAACATCGCATCCACTGTTGTTTGTCCTGCTTAATTTGAAGTTGTAACTGTTGTCCTATTCTGAGTACCTGAATGGAGATCAGAGGTTGGTCTGTTCAGTGGTTAATGTTGTAAGCTGACTGATAATCTCAGGATTCTCTTTGGTAAATACCTGTAGCTGGAGAAAGTTTGCACTGGGTGAGATCCCATACAGCCTTAATGACAAATTACTGCCACTAATGAAATCAAATCTCAGATCAAGTTCTGGGTTGTAGTAAACACACAGGCACAAAAGTTTCATACTGCTCTTCGAATTAAATGACATATTAGCTCTCAGCTTCTAGCCACACCTTGGATGAAAAGTTTACATAGACAGAAATTAAAATATTCTAGCGACATGTTTCCATTATTCTGTGGTCTGCATTAGGCCACAAGGCTGTGCAGGAATCATTCAGTTAACAGCCCTCTGTGTTGCAAGGATAGGCAGTCTGAAGTGTTTTGGACAATCCACATTTCTTGGATAGCACTAATTTCACCAGTTAAAATTCATTCTTTGACTCTAGTTTGATGAGAACAATAGTGGAAGCACCTTATTCCTTGCAAGCAGTCACTGTAGCTTATAGAAACCTAGAGAGCTTGCTAAATAAAACATAGATACCTGGGGCCACCAACAGCAGTGGCAGATGCTCATTTCAATAGGCTTGTGTTTCTAACAAGCTCCTAGCTAATTTTGCTAACACTCACACTGATTTTGATGAAGACAGCAGGGAAGTAATTGTTCACATGCACTGACGACAGTCCTTAGAATCATCAGTGTTTAACAGTGGACACAGCACAAAGAGATAACTTGCACCTGTGGCTCAAGTGACTAAGGCGCCAGCCACATACACCTAAGGTGGTGGGTTCGAATCCAGCCTGGGCCACCAAACAACGATGACAGCTGCAACCAAAAAATGGCTGGGCATGTGGCGGGCACCTGTGGTCCCAGCTACTTGGGAGGCTGAGGCAGGAGACTCGCTTGAGCCCAGGAGTTGGAGGTTGCTGTGAGCTGTGATGCCACAGCACTCTACCCAGGGGGACAGCTTGAGGCTTTGTCTCAAAAAAAAAAAAAAATAGAGATAACTTGCCCTGTGTTCACTTAACCAAAATGGCAAAGCCCTGACTTTAAGCCCCATCCACAAGCATCACTGCACTCTGGACAGTTCACAGTGCGCAGTGGGCAGGGGACCTGGGCTAGTAGTTTAGATTTCTCCTTTCCTCTGTCCATACAATGAACACAGTAGGTCTCTATCCCATAGGTTTTAGGGATACTATACCAATTATATGTAAGTGGGTTTTTGTGAATGCTAATGAGGAATACTTGAAAGGGGCTTAGAATAAATCCTGGAACACAGTAAACACCACATACATTTTTGCTGCTGTTGTTTGTGCTGTTATAATTAAGAACTATTGCAAGCCTTGAAACCCAACGACTCCTTGTTATTGGAGAGATTGAGTGTATTGCCCAGTCTGTTAGCCAGTAAGTGGCAGGACTGGGTGTACTTGAACTCCAGTGCTGATGCCTGTGCTTGGGCTTGCTCTATACATGTGATACATAGATTGCCCTTACAAAGCATTAACCTCAACAGGGGATGTAGAGATTGCCCTTGAAAAGTGCTTTCTCTTTATATATATGTAGTGTATGGATTCTTCTCAATGTATATTTTGAGGACTGTCCCAGGCGTATGTATATTCCTTGTTTACATTTAACTTTCAAGTTAATAGTATGATTTGATGCGCCATTGCCTACAAGGTAAGAGATTTCCATTAACAACAAATTTGTGTAGTTTTGATTTTTTGAAAAATGACAAGAGGGTATCAGAAACCTGACTTGGTTTTAATTTTTTCTTTTCATTTTTGCTTGCCCTTCTGGCTCTCTCTGAGTGCAGATTGGGTTGTGTTCGGGATTACTTAAATGGTAATTTTTGTTTCTTTTCTTAAGGACTGAGAATTTGGGGCGGAAGACTAATAAAGGAAAGAAACAAAGGACAAATCCAGGTATTTGATGTCAAGTTTTATTGCCAGAATGCCTCGCTGTGGGGGGCCTGGATGTGAATGGAGGTGGGGTGAGCCCTGGCTCTGAGTGTGCACAGGAAGGCTGCTGCAGGGTACTTGGTTCCTCACCTTGACTGCCCTCTTCTTCTGTTTTTAAGGGTTTACTAAGAAATGTTTCTTCTTTTGCTTGGTAAGGGCAGAAAGGCGCTGTGTAACATTAGCCTTTTTTGTACCTTTGAGGCAGCCCAGGGGGCTGTGAGAACCTGATCTCACTTGCAGAAGCTGGGTCCCCTGCCACACTCCAGCTCAGTGAGGGAAAATACAAAATCCAGTTCCTCTCAGGGAAGAAAAGTGTGTCCTGTCCTCTTCTGAGATGAGGGAAGGGTTCAGTGTGCAGGATCACCTTCTTCCTTCTGTTTTTCTACCTTTTGGAGACCTCGATTTTTTCTTTCCCTATTTATCTCCAGGGTGTGGCAGCTATGAGATCTATTATTTTAATGAAATGTGCCTAACACAGTTTGTCTTCCTCCGGGGAGGCCAGGGAGCCCTTTGTCATAGTAGCTTCCCAGATAGTCTGAGTGAGAACATCAAGGTTAAGGTGACTTGACATTAACAGCAAACTGAAGTTCAGATCGTCTCGATTATTTTAGTCACTGAAATGTTAGAAATACATAGAACTATTAATTAGGTCATTAGAGCTGAAGGGTCCAATTTAAAGTCAAAAGTTTAGTTTATTGTATCTTAAGTAGGAAGCAGTATAAATCAATCAACATATGCACCTAAACTGTCATAAGCATCCTCACTGTTCATCCTTGGTGGCAGTAGACATCTGCTGTGATCAACTGACCAGGTTTCATGCAGCTATGGTCGGTGATAGCAGGGCTGGACCACCACACAGACACCACTAGCTTTGTTTTTGATGAACATTCAGTTTTGTGCTGTGTTTTGGCATTTCAAGCTGTCTGCACTGCATTCATTCCACAATGGAACTCATGTTCAAAGATAACACAAATTTTTGACTTATCCATGGTTTCACAAAAATTGCTCTGAAACAATTTAAAATTTTGAAAAATAATCACAAACTAAAGCATGCATTTGAAAGAATGAGGATGTGCCTTCACCCTAAAAAAAAAAGTGTCAAAGCGAAATATCAGAGACAGTGACTGTCCAACTTAGTAATTATAAAATCAGACATTTCTTTCTTAATAACCTAATACTTAAAATTAGCCTGACTTCTGTAAGCAGATATAGTTACTGATGATGTTTTAGTAGAATATGACTCCTCTTTATAATACACATCTTTATAAAGACACATTTTAATCCTAATTTTTCCAGTTCTCTATCACCCATCATGCGTTTCAATCACCATTTTTTAAAACTGCTCTCCTATTGATAGACATTTAGCTCCTTGTGCTTTCCTTTATTATAAATCAAGACCTTTATTCCATAAAGTGCCAGATAGTAACTATTGTAGGCCTTGGTGGTTCTGTGTTCTCTGTCATAATTTCTCAGCTCCTTGTTGCAGGGGGAATGCAGCATAGAAATACATACCTACACATGGCTGTGTTTGAATAAAACTTTATTTATAAAGCCCTGTCCTGAAGAGTTTAGAAACATCCTTTTCAGTAAATGCTGAGAAGTGGGGTTATTGGCCCAAAGGATATGTACTCTTTAAATTATGCATTGTAATAGAGACACCCCCTCATCAGACCAGTGCAAGAATGGTCCTGATGGCAAAATGCTTTCATCAGGGCATTTATTTAATGTCTTTGCTTAAAATGTAAGGGACCCCTGTCTGGGGTCTTCAGAATTTTCAGACCTTTTCTTGGGATTAGAAAATGGCACATTCCGATTACAGCTTAGACATCTACCACAGCACAGAAATTATCATGGGTGACTGTGCCCAAATCTGCCTCCACCTTTTTCCAAGCAGCCAAACACTCATGCTGCCGCAGAGGCCGTGGCAGGCTGTGCACCAGCCTACGTTGGTTTGGTCACAGTACAAGGCTTGGGGTCTCTGTAGACACCAGTGCTGCTAAGCACTTAGGGGTTTGTACAGGTTGCCTGCTTCCCCATAATTCTTGAACCAAGTTTCCCTGCTCCCTCCTTGAGTGAGACACAGCCACAAAAAGCTCTGTGCTGATTTCCAGAAATAGGATTCACTTACCAGGTAGCATTCACATGCAGCCACAAATCCTGAGTCCTTGTAGATGACACCTGGGGATCACACCTAAAGGGATAGGCCTGGCCACCTTCTCACTGTCTGTTCTTGCAAACTTGGGTGGTTCTGAAAATATTTCAGCCTATCTGGCATCTTGAATGGTTGAATTTCACTAGTGAGAACCCATCGATGCCATCTGTAGGACATCACTGGGGCCTGGTGTAGAGCAGGCTCTAGAGAGCAGGTGGAGGCCTCTCCGGGAGTATGGCCAGCCAACCACCGCTGCAGCGTGAGCTCCAGGTCAGGGTACCCAGCTGCCCCTCCATTGTAGCAGAGGCTTAAACTGGTCCCACAGGAGTGCGGGAATTGTAGGCCTTGTATGTCTCATGACATCACCATGAACACTACATCACGTGGAGACAGAGAGCACAGAAAATCTTCCAAGGGCCTCTTGGCTATTTCTGGATTCTCAGTGATGACCTAGTGACATTTTGGATTTTTGTTTGCCCCAGTCCTCACAAGCCACACGCGGGCTGGGACTGGATACAAGATGAGATCATGGCTGCTTGCATCTCTGCTCTGTCATTCAAGTGGCTGCCTATACCCAAGCCCAGGAAGGGAACTCTGCTGGTTTTTCAGGTGGAACCTTGGTGGCCTCCCTGGCCTCCTGAGGCCTCACAGAGAGCGGACACATGGGGCGAACCTTTGCACTCCCTGCCCTCTCCTGTGCTTGTGGGAGGCTGTGGGTTCATTACTCGAGAGGCTTCACAGTGAGCTGTTTCTCTAATGGGCATATCTGTATTGACTTCTCTACTTGGAGGACTCCCCTGTGAGGCCTGTGGACAGGATAGATGGCCCCATGCAAGCCACAGCCCAAGGTCATGAACGTCCCGCACAAGGCATGCACGTCCTGGGAGCTGGTGATTGTCACTTTTGTTCAGGTGAGTTCAGAAGGGATTGGGCCTATCATGTCTCTGTTACAACATTTTTAAATCTACATTCTTCATTGTTAAAGTTTTATTTTTTTTTCCTATGATATTTTTTAAAATGTTAATTCCTTCTGAGCTCCCTGGAGGAGAGGAGGCCATGTCCTGCCCACAGGTCTGTGGTGCTTATGTGTTTCTTGAATAAATAAACATATCCCCACTCCCCACTTTAAAATGCCAGCATTTTACAGAAAAGCTGATGCCTCTGCAGTCGCCTTGTTTTCCTTCCTTCTTTCTCCTCCTCCATAAGGTTCCTCTGCCATCCCTCAGGCCAGTGTGACTGCTCTTCCCAGTCCTGTGCCTGCTGTCCTCAGCCTCTCTGCTCTGGGTCCATCCATCAGCATTGACACAGGCCCAGATTGCACCTTTGATAATTAAAATATCCTTCTCAGATCACCCTGTCCCATATCCCTCTCTGGCTCCATCCCTTTGTTCAATCCCTTTACAACCACGTAAGTCCGATCACACGCTCATGTCTGCGTGGGGTTTCCTCACCTCCCGTGTGCCCCTTACCTCCCGTGTGCCCCTTACCTCCCGTGTGCTCCTCACCTTCCATGTGCCCCTCACCTCCCGTGTGCCCCTCACCTCCCGTGTGTCCCTCACCTCCGTGTGCCCCTCACCTCCCGTGTGCCCCTCACCTCCCGTGTGCCCCTCACCTCCCGTGTGCCCCTCACCTTCCGTGTGCCCCTCACCTCCCGTGTGCTCCTTACCTTGTTCCATTCCAGCTTCAGGCTCCATCGCTGACGCCCAGCTCTGGCTGAGGGTCCTTCGCCCCGTTGCTGAATTGAGTTGGCATTCCTTGGGTTGTATCCCTGTTGAAACTTCCGGACACTCATGCCTTGGGACTTTGGCACTGTGCTCCTGGGGTTTTCCTCCTCTCTCCCTCCTCCTGCCGTCAGCTCCCCTCCATCCCCCCGGCACAGTGTCTGGAGCCTTGGTCTGAGCCCTCCTCTCACTGGTGGAGTCCCCACTTGTATCTGAGCTCTTCATACCAGGGTCTCGGTGTGGCCCTAAACAGTTTTGTCCTGGGCCTTTAAAGTCCTGTCTCTCCCACACACACTGGCCTCTCTACAATCTCTGTCCACCCTGCCCAGCCCCTTCTCTGCCCTCACCAGTCAGTATTAGGTTAGTGACAGTCAGTAATAGTAATAGTTTATGAGACACTAAAACAGGGGTCCTCAAACTTTTTAAATAGGGGGCCCATTCACTGTCCCTCAGACTGTTGGAGGGCTGGACTGCAGGGCCCCGGGATGAGTTGGCTGCTAAGCAGGACAGGCAGTGATGGCAAAAATACCTGGCAGGCCAGATAAATGTCCTAGGCGGGCCAAAGTTTGAGGACGCCTGCACTGAAGGGAATGCTGGTGGTCTCTCAGAGTGTACTAGAAAGGCCCCAGGTAGGATGTTGACTCATAGATGTTATTAATTTACTGGTATTAATCCAAGTCTTAACACTGTAAATCTTTAGGCCCATGAATTTCCCATACTATTTGAAATAACTGAAAACAGTTATTCAGAGCAGTGTGGTCCCCGCAAGCTGCCTGTGGCTACTGAACTGAAAATTAAAACTTAAAGTTTAGTTCCTCAGCCTTATAAGTGTCCAGCAGCCTCATGTGGCTGGTGGTTGACAGAGGACAGCTGGTAGAAATTTCCTCATCACAGGAAGTCCTGCGCGGCAGTGCTGGGCTGGAGTGCTCCACTTCTTAGGATCAAAGGTCTGTGACAGCTCAAGGGTGTACAGTCTGCTTGGCCTTGTCTCCAGTGCCTGGGCATATTCCCATCTTGACAGCTTCCTTGTGGAAGCCACAGGCGCTTTTCACCATGACACACACTCTGAGTGACACAGTGACCCTCCCAGAGAGGAAAATGCACCCTCTTCTAAAGCTCCTGATTGAGATTTTCCTTTGTTTACGTTTAGATTCAAAAAGCAGTGATGTCGATGCAACTTTAGACCAGGACGATCCAGTTGCTTGGGCCATAACGGTGAGCACTGGCTTTGGTGATGTGAGGGCAGAGCGGGGCTAGGGTCCATGTGCACGTCCTCTCAGCTGCCACAGCCTGGGGAAGAACTGTCTGCACCTTCCTAAGTCCTCTTCTGGGGTTCACTCTCACTACTGCCACCCCTCAAGCCTTTGGTTCCTCCTCGTGTGGATCCCCTAAGACACTAAGTCCCTCTTCAGCTTAGCACTTAGCAGCCAGCTTCACCTAGCTCAAGCACATTTACTGAGCGTGCATGGTCTGAGTAATCCTGGGTGACTTTCATGGTGGTTCAAAGGTGGTGGTTGTGAGCATGTGACATTAAAAGTTGGGATCTCAGGGCGGCGCCTGTGGCTCAAAAGGGTAAGGCGCCAGTCCCATATGCCAGAGGTGGTGGGTTCAAACTCAGCCCTGGCCAAAAACTGCAAAAAAAAAAAAAAAAGTTGGGATCTCAGAACAGGACACAATTATAAGAGGGACTTTACCTAACAAATGCAATCAATATAACCTGGTTCTTTGTACCCTCAGCGAATCCTCAACAATAAAAAGGAAAAAAAAAAGTTGGGATCTGAGTCTTGCTCCACAGTGTCACCAGGAAGGTGTTCTGGGTGTCCTAGGAAGTATTTCTAGGTCAGCCTTGAAAGCCCCTTTAGTCAAGAGGTCACATAATGAGGCAGCCACTGCTCCCCTGAACTGTAGGCTTTGTTCATGTCTGTTTCCCAGTGGTCACGGAAATTACCTGTCTCCTTATAGGGTGTGCGTCTCACCTTCCCTCACAGACAATGCACACAGAACTTAGCCCACACAAGTGTCTTCTGTGGCCCCTGTGTCACATGCTGTCACAAGCTAGTATGGCCGGCTCATAGTTTTTCTCTGAAATTGCTCTTTTTTCTGCAAGGGCTGCTCATACACCCATGTGACTTTGGGTGACTAAATAAAAAACGGTAATGACCCTGGGAAGGCAAGTGTATCTACTGACATGTTATGCAGGGACTGGCATGAGGGGGAGAGGGTAGGCCTGGTAGTGAAGAGCTGGCCCTTCCCTGACAAGGTGGGAATCATCCTCCCTGATCAGCCCCACCTGGGTGCAGAGAAGGCGGGTGATGCTTTTTCCAGTGTCTGGCGGGTAGGGTGGGAGGCCTCCCGAGGGGGAACACTGCATTTCATTTCTGATAAATTTGCCACTTGGGGTTATTACCAGTAGTTGAGTCCTAACTTCACCTGACAATATTCAGATGGTTTTAATTTTTTTTCCTGTTTTGTAATGTTATCATAACTTCTACAGACTTACTTTTTTTTTGTCTTTTTACTTTCTTCTGGATTAACACTGGACAAATTCCCTGAAGTCAGATTACTGGGCCTGCGGGTTCTCAGAGGGGGTGGGCCACTCTGTGCTGCCGACAGCCTGAGTGCCTGTTGACCAGTCAGTGCAGTAATGAGCTTGCTAATTTGCTCCAGAACTCAAAAGGTCATTGTACCCAAAAGCTCTTAAGAATACTGACTGCTCTTTTTTTGATCAGCCTGCAGCACCTCAAAGCCCTTTGAAAAATGAATTAAGAAGAAAATACTTGACCCAGGTGGATATACTGCTACAAGATTCAGGGTGTTGGGAGGTAATCTGTTTCTCTGTTTGTTTTTATATAATTAGATCATAAACTAAAGACACGTTAAGGTACAATATGATCCTGTTTTTTGTTTACTCTCTACAGAGCCTGTAAAGTGCATTTTGAATAATTATTTCCAGACTGTTTTATCCACATGCTGATAAGACTTTTGCTTGAATAAACACTCCAGGTCCATGAGGGCAGTGCTGTTGGGGAAACTCGCAGAGGCGGGGCATTCACCTCTGCCTGCTGTTTGGGTGGGGCTGGGGGGGGGGGCTCACAGAATCTAATAGGGCCACCTGTAGGATTCCCCAAGGGCAGCCCTGGCCCCTGTGGAAAGGGGTTTGAAGCTGCGTAATTTGGAGGCAGTGGTTCCCACCTTCCTTGTGTGACCAGGCTGGGGTCAGTGGCAGAGTGAGTCACCAACCTGTGGCCCCAGCATTTCCTCTCCTGCTGAGGTCGTGGCAGGTGGGGACTGTGGTGAAGCCTGAGTGGCAGGGCGGATGGCAGGAAAGGCAGGCAGCCTCACTGCCCCTCCCTATGCTGCCCTCTGTGTCCCTCTGCGGCCGCCTGGGAGCTAAAGACAGAGCCTCATGTAAGGATGGCAACTCTTTAGTTTTTCCAGTTCAGTTGTCTTTTGTATGGTAAAAGACGTTTTAGCACCAGAGAGCTAGAAAGTACACATTTCAGGGTAAAGAACAATTCATCTCCAGAAAAGGTGGCATCGCACGGGTGGGGTGGGGCGTGTGCTGCTGACCAGTGGAAAGCCTGCATTTGGGGACTGCGAAGTTAGCAGATGTGCTAGAAACGCTGTTTTCCTTTGCCCTAAAGCAGCAAGTGGTGTCTTCTCGGTGGCTGCACTGATTAGAGGAAGAGGCTGGAGTGAGGAGCAGCTCTCTAGTCTTCTCTGCCCACCATGCCCCTGTCCCTCGGTGTTCCCCTTGTCCAGCTGTAATGGTGGACAAAGAAAAGCCATCAGCCTTTCTGGGGGAAGGAGTTAACTGTTACCCAAGTGGTAGCTGTGGCAGGGGGGCATCTTGGAGGCCACCTAGAAGAGTTCCCAATCTTACCTCACTGCTCAAAGCCCAGCCAGCCCCTGACACCAGGGTTATGTGCTAGTCAACAGCACCATGCTAAGACACACAGTCCGTGTTGGCAGGGAAGCAGTATCATTCGGGGACATCACGCTGTCAGGAGGAGAACCCAGCTCCCTGTGCCCTGGGTCTCCACATTTAGCAGCTCTCTTTTTTGTAACCACTGACTTTGATTTCAGGCTGCAGACGACAGAGCTGGAAAGGACATAGTCATGGCCCTGCCCCCTCCACTGGCCGCACCTGCCCCTCCTGCCTCTGGTGAGTGTGACCTGAAAATGTGGCCTGCACTGCACATGCCACCATCACCTTAGATGGAACCACTCACGTTGGGCACGCCACTTGTTTCAACAACACAAACTTGAAGACACTTGCATTTCATAGGAAAATTAAGATTTTAGAAAGTCGTAATTTAAGAAAAAGAACTGTTTTTTCCCCCTATAATTCTGCCTTTTATTTCAATTTACTGCTTCAAGAAGTTTTGAATCTCCAGAAGCACAAGACCAGTGTAATGGCCACCCTGCACCCGTTTCCCAGCTGACAGCTTGCCGCCCCACCCCCAGCACACACAGGTGCACACGGTGTGGATTTATCTGCAGCTGTGTGTTTATTGTCCCACATCAATCTAAGAACAGGGTAATTCTACATGTCTGCAGAAAACTTAGATGCCAGAAATTGAACATTAACGTGATAAAGTTTTACCAACTGTCCTAGCCCAGGCCAGTAGTTTGCAGAATGCCCCTCCGTTTGGAGCTGTCTGATTGTTTCCTTGAGGTTAGATAAACGTTAAACACTTTTGGCTAAAATGCCTCTACATGGATGAGATATCCTCTTCGGACCTCAGTCGGTCTGTCGTATTGGCAACCTTTGGGTCTGCTGGTTCAGTTAGAGTAGGACCTTCCTGATTTCTCTCTGCAGAGGGGCCTTTTGCCTTGGGGTTGTCTGTGGTTGGTCCTTTGAGATCTCCCAGCAGCCTTATATTGCAGACTATTGTATTCAAAGTTAACTGGATTCTTTTTTCTCTTTCAGTTATTAATTTGATATACAGACTTTTTTTTATTTTTATTTACAATCAATCTTAGGGTTTTCACCAAGGATGCGTTTTCCTTAGTGGCTTAATTTCATGTTTGAAAACATCTTGAACGTGATGTAGAGGTCAAAGCTGTGAGAGGTGTGTTCAGGAGTCTTCCTCCCTCCCCACCCATCCCCATAAGGAAAGTGTCTTCAGCTTACAGTTTCTAATTAGCTTTGGAAAAGGCTTAGACCCATCTTCTAAGTCACGTGGGAAGGAAGACTCCTTTTGGGAAGGTGGGATAGAGAGTAAAATCAAATCCTGACAGCTAAAAAGACATTTCAGAGAAGAGTCTATTCCTAAACGTTTGTGAAGGTTTTATTTTGGAATTTTTTGGTATTGCTTAAGAAAAAATCAGGATTCCCTTTTAAGTTCCGTGATCTGTGCATTTGGGTGGCCTTGGATGGCAGCACACATCTCCTTTTTGTTTTTCTCCCAGGATCCGATGGTGGTCTCTCTGGAAAGAGTCCTGGTGACACAGCTCAACCAGCTTCGTCTCCCAGACAGTGGGATCCTTCACGTCCTTGCTCAACAGACCTGGCCATAGTACCTAGAAATGACAGTCTCCCATTACTAGGGACAAGCAGCAGCAGCTTCCTAAGCAGCCAGTCCTTTGGAGATGATGACATTTGCAACGCAACAATCAGCGACTTGTACGAGGGTATGCTGCATTCCATGAGCCGGCTACTGAGCACACGGTCCTCAGGCATCATCTCCACAAAAACGTTCATCATGCAGAACTGGAACTCCCAGAGGCGGCACAAGTGTAAGAGAATGAACAGGACATTCTGCAGAGGAGCCCGGCGCCCTCAGAGGGGCTCCAGGGAGAGGCCTTCACCCCATTCTGAGCCTGGGAAAGAGAGAGGAGCATTAAGAGACTGCAAGAACTTACTAGATGTTTCTTGCCATAACACAAGTTTAAAACTGAGAAAAGCTTATCTTGAAGTAAAACCTCAAGTCCATAAGTTGGATCCAAGTTGGAAGGAGCTTCAAGTGCTTCAGGTGACACCCAAGAAGTGTTCCTCATTGACTTATTTAGACCCCAGTCGAACACATCATCCTGATCAGGAAAACAGATTTATGAAATTAAAATGGTTAATTTCTCCTGTAAAAATAGTTTCCAGACCAACAATATTACCGGGCCACAGAGAGAATCATCAACGGGAGATTGAAATCAGATTTGATAAACTCTATCAGGAATATTGCCTGAGCCCCAGGAAACCGCCTCCCCTGACTAGCCTCCCCAACTCCTGGGCCGTGGCTGTGTACAAAGGTGGTCCTGAAAGCCCCAGAGGCCATAGGGGTCTGGAAACCCACAGGCTCAGTTTACCTTTCAGCAGAGTGAAATCAAAAAGGTTAAACAAGGCTTTTGAAACCATAGGCAGAAAATCTATGGAAGTGAGTGGACACCTGCCAAAGAGAGATTTGTCCTCTTTGTCACAAAGCACCAGCCCCATATGGAGCCCAGGTCATTCTTGGCAGACATCTGTCCTGCATTTTCAAGGAAATAGTTATGGAATAGTTAGAAAGTCAGTATCACCCAGCAGAGCTATTCCAATACCAAAGATAGAGCCTCTGGGCTATGGAAGAAACCGTTATGATGAAATTAAAGAACAATTTGACAAGCTTCATCAAAAGTATTGCCCAAAACTGCCTGTGCAGATGAAGGCACCTTTAGGTACCAGAGCGTCTCCACATAAAGCAAGTACAAAAGTTCGATATCAAACAAAAGACTTGGGAAAATTAAATCTAGACTCTCTCTTCCAGGGTTCCCCAAAATTGTCATCATCACTCCCAAAGTGTAGGAGAAGTCTGCTGGGCTCAGGTGCAATTCAGGCTCATCCATCTGCACAAGTCCCTTGTGCTACTGGGAGGGGCAGTCAGTGTCCTGCAAAAAGGCTCAGGTTATCAGACCCCTGCAGTTATGGACGCCACATCGATTCCCAGGATTCTTCAGGTGGGGTGGGCAGAGCTGTCTTCAGACCAGGAGAGCAGGACTGCTGTTTATGGCCTGACTCAGAGGACGAGGAGGTGGGTTTCTGTTTTTTGAATGTGGGGCTTTCTGAGTGACCATTCTGGGCAGAGGCTTTTTATGGTAGAACCTTTGTGCCACTTTTGAAGAATCTCTGTAGAATTCTTATATTAGTGTTTATTCTCCAAGTGTTTTCCCAAATACTTTTCCTTCCTCTGAAATCAGAGTGTATATCAAGAACGTGTTTGTGTATATGATGCATCAAGGTGCCGCAGAAAATGTTCTTGTAGGGAGAGTTTTACACATTTCCCAAGGAGATGCATCTGGGGCTTTTTTCTACAAGCCCTAACTTAACTATGCTCTATCCTTCTATGTCAAACTGTCATTTTCAACCTCTATCTTACACTGCTATGAGATGACACTTATCAGGAAGCAGTGACTTCCTGTCTGCTCTGGATTGCTGGCAGGAAGAAGCAGGGGCCTGGGAGAGCAGGAGCATAGAGTTCCCCGGCCCCCATGAGGGGCCCCTCAGGGCCTCACTCTTGCTCTGCGGACAGGACAGTCTCGGTGCTCAGTACTAAAGCCTCTGTGCCTTGAGCTACAGCTTAGTCTGCGGATCACATCAGCTGAAGTTTTAGTCTGTGTGTGCTATTTACTTTCTCCAGAGACAAGGTGGACAGGTGGTGGGTGGGTTGGGTTCTTGTGATTTGTTACCTTTCTTGTGTTAAGTGCCAGCCCCAGGGCAGCCTCTGTCCACAAGTTGGATCAGACAACATGGCCCTTTTAACTGAGTGTGGTCACTTACCCACTGGCCTGGGGATTTGGTATGACCAGTTCCCCTTGGGTTTTATGTGTGGTTTGGGCAGGTGAGGCAGTATCCCCAGCGGCCTGTGCCTCTTACCCAGTGGTGGGCCTTTCTATGGGAAATGAACCATCCCTGTTTTCCCCCAGCTAGACCTGTTTGGCCTGTGTCCCTCAGCTGCTAGCTCCTGCTTGTCCAGCTCACAACCAAGGTCTAGTCTTGTTCCTTCTGCAGGTGCTGCCTTTGCAGTCTGCAGTCCAGCCTGTGCGTGACAGAGACCATGCTCTCCTACCCACAGCATCCAATTGTGGCTCTCGCCATGCTCTTGGGCCTTTCTCACCGTCACCATCCTCCCTGTACCCTTGGGCTTCTCCCCTTTTCTTCCCAGGAGACTTCTTGGTGACATTCTTTCTCCTACCCTCCAGTTATTTCCTCTTGTGCCCCCAGACCCCAGCCCTGTACTTACACACACACACACACACACACACACACACACACACCCCGTGCAGGTGAGCCACAACCTCCCTAGGGGCAGGCGCGGTGGACACAGGCTGCTGAACACAGGCCAGTCCCGTAGGCTGATGGCACAAGGCAGGATGCTGGCTCAGGCTCCTAACTCAGTCTGGGGAGCTCCTAGGTTATGTTGATAACTTGTTTTTTTAGGTTATTTTCATGCATAAAAATCATTCTGAGCTAACCAAAAGCAGAATAAACCATCCTGGGTAGTCATTGTCCTCCCACCTGACAATGTTAGGGCAATGCAGTGACAGCTCAGGGTCGTTACCAAAGTAATTGAAAAGAACAAGCGCAAGTCAAGTTGTAGCAAGAAAGGGAAAGTTTATTTTAACGACCTGGATAGCGGCCAGGCCCTGCCCCAGCAACTGCAGACATGGTGGAGAGTGCATGGGTTTTATACACACCTTCTGAGGGTATCAGCTGCTGCTTGGAAGCTTCCATGGGTCTTGATCAGCTCTGTTTCCATAACGTGTTCCCATAACAACTTGTATCTATCTGTGCACATCAGAAAGTCCTCTGAAATCCACAGGCAAGGTCCTGTACCTGTAAGATCTCTGTCGGGCCCATTCCTATAGTAGCTCATGCCAGCCCTACCCAAGCCCATCCCAAACAGCCAAATAGCCTAACCACATCCACCTCCCCCTGCCCTGCTCACATCTGACTAAATGCCTAACACAGAAGAATGGACCTAAGTCTCCAGGTGATAGGAAAGGTTTGCTCCAGCACCCCTACTGGGGTCAGGCACCTTAGCTAAGGCACATGGCGCTGAGCGGGGCAGGCACGGGGGCAGCCCAGGACCTGGAGAGCCAACACCCCCCGGTCCACGTGGGTGGGCCCCCACAAGGTGCGTGGCTTATGACAGGCCCTCCCACTGGTCTTGTTCTCTAGCTCTTTGCCACTGCCCCCATCACCCTGTGCCCACTTGGCTTTTTCAGGCCAAACCACCAGCTGGGTGACTTTTATCTTCAGTCCAGTGATTCTTATGACGGTGGGGCCTTCAGAAACCTCAGCCACTGCTTGTGGAGGACACTCAGTGAGTGTTCTATTTAACAAATCGCCTCTCAGGACACTCTTACTTCTCAGTTGAAAGGGGGCATTTCACTGAAAACAGCTCCCCAGCCTGGAGCTGCCCCTGAGGCTTCTCTTGGCCTCCTGACATGTCAGAACTGCATTGCACCTGGTCCCTTGGCTAAACCTGAGCCACTTTTTCTCAAATAGCCCCCACTTGTACCTCTTACCATCATCCTGCCCCTGGGATGCTCCCCTGTGCCTTTTCCTGCTATCCCTCTGACTGGCCTGTGTTGGCTGCGTTCCAGGTCTGTGCCCTGCCCCCACAGGCCTCTTTACCTGCCTGGAACAGAGGACTTTCTTTTTCTGACCAGACACTTGGTGTGGGGATGGGGGGATGGGGGGGTCCAGCTTTACAGTAGAGTGTGAGGTGATGTGCTGGGAGCAACGTCACAGCACCCGGCAGTGGAGGGTTGGCCCAGCAGGACCCCCACAGCTCCCCCAGAATGTAGTGGTAAGTCCTCTCCACGACCACTTACAGTTTCATGTTAAACCAGAATATCAATGCTTAATCAGTTCTCCTACTTATTTTATTTTTCTGCTTTCCCTGCTTAAACGATAACATTTCTTGAGGAAAGAGTCTAACTAACTGTTCAGGAGTTATGACTACATAAGGAGTGTTAAGGACCGGCACCCGAGTGCCAGTTCTGCTGGCAGGTTTTAGGCCTTACCTTACTCCCACAGGAACCCTTTGATTAGGTAGGTTCTGTCCTGGGCAGGCTGTCTCTTAGCCCCCAGAGTCACTCACACAGGCCGCTCTGCCTGCTTGAGGGGTTACTGTTAACTCTTTAAGAAGCATTTCTTAGGGTATTTATTTAATGTAGCAGCATTTATATTTTTATAGTGGGCAGACAAATATAGAGAGAGAGAATTTTGAGATTTTGGTAGCTGGTGTTGGGAGTTCTGGTGGACTTTTACTGAAAGCGTTCTGTCTTATTTTTCCTAGAGGAATGAAGAACACATCTTTCAAGAGGGAAGAGAAAATTCATTTTTGAATTTTTGAACAGAAAAATTCAAAGCTGATAATCTCTGGCCAGGTTATATTGGAGTATTGTTTCTTTTTCTTGTTTATGGTTTTTTCTTTTTGTTTTGTTTTATTTCGTTTTGTTTTTAATCCTCAAGACAATACAAGAACTTGGTTGAATTATCTGCCCTTAAAGGAAATGTCAGTGAAATTGGCTGCCATCAGAGATGACTGAGTTCTTGGTATCGAAATTATGTGAATAAAGACACTCAATTAAAACATTACCGTTTTAGGCCTGTTTTTCATGTGTTTTCTTTTTTAACTTTAGACACGTCGAGAGAATTCTCCCTTAACTTTTGTTATTTCATTGAAGAGTATTGTTTGCTGGCTAAAGCTGCATTTAAGCCCTGGATACAGTGATCCTTGAAGGGAAATAACAGCTGCTTGGTCTTTTAAAATTCAGACCCAAGGGGAGGTGGTCCCTCCATACTGTGAGACAGCAGAGAAAAATCTAATACATACAGGTTGAGTATCCCTCATCTGAAATGCTTGGTACCTGAAGCATTTTGGAGTTTGTGGTTTTTCAGATCTTAATGTATTTGCATATGAAGTTAACTCTTGAACAGCAAGGGTTTGAACAGAGCAGGTTCCCTTAAATGCAGAGCAGGTTCCCTTTCTTCCACCTTCGCCACCTCTGAGACAGCAAGACCAACTCCTCCTCCTCAGCCTGCTCAACACAAAGATGATGAAGATGGAGACCTTATGCTGGTCCTCTCCCACATAGTGAAGAGAAAGATATTTTGTCTTCCTCATTATCTTCTTAATGACATTTCCTTTTCTTTAGCTTTATTATAAGAATATATACAGTGTATAATACATGCAGCATACAAAACACGTGTTCATGGACTGCTTTTGTTATCAGTAAAGCTTCAGGTCAACAGTAGACTATTAGTAAGTAGTTAAGTTTCTGGGTAAGTCAAAAGTTTTTACTACATAGGGGTGATTGGGACCCCTAACCTCTGCCTTGTTGAAGAGGTTAAGGATAAGACTAAGTTGCACACTTTGAGCTATGTATAGTGAGGTAGCTTGGGATTGGAACCGAAGTCTAAATATGAAGTTTATGTTTTATACATATACCTTATCACATGGCCTAAAGTTAAAGTTTTATGCAGTATTTTTAATAATTTTATACATTACATAGAGTTTTGACTATGACTCGTCATAAGATCAAGTAGGGAATTTTCCACTCATGGCATTATGTTGGCACCCACAAAGTTTGAGATTTCAGATCTTTGGATTATGGATGTTCAAGCTGTATAATTAATTCACCCATTTAAGCTGTCCTGGTGATTAATTCCAAACACTCTTGCAGCCACATGGCATCTGTGATGCCTTGTGTTTTTTTTGGAACTGCTTATGATAGGATATCACAGTGACTTTTTAAAGTATTTCAAATATTCAGAATGTAGTAACAAAGCCCATGCTGGA